GCTGGAGGGGGCGAAGCGGGCCACCGTAGCATCGAGGATGGACAACGGCGTCTTCTGCGGCTGTTCGGGTTTGGTTGGTGGGAAGACCCGAGTCTGGACGTGGTTGGAGGTGCTCATCTTGACTACCTATGGGCTGGTGGTGATATGACGATATTAACAACTACTTTGCCTTCTTGTGTAATAGCAACCAGTAGGTGTTACTGTAATGTTGCAGTAGTGATGTTGGAACGAGAAACAGAAAAATTCACCAAAACAGAGCTGCTTCAAGACCGCTTGCACCAAGGACTCCTTAGAACTGGCGAAGAAAAAAGAGGAGGGAACAGTAGACAAACCGCATACTATATTACACACACACATACACACATATATATACTCCGAACACTTGAGCATTTCACTTGCGGCACAGCAGGTGCTAGCTAGACCGCCCGAACTCCACTGCCCCTTTCCTCCCGGAAACCTATACTTGAATAGTCCACGCAATGCACAGCAACGGGACTACGGCTACATACGCAGACCACGCAGCCCCTCGGTGCAAGCCATGACAGAGGGCATTGTGATGCAGGGTTTCTGTTGAAGGAACCTATCAAAAGCGTCGGTATGTTCAGTGACGGTCAATGCTCGCTTACAACAAGGAGTCTCGGAGTCACGTGTATGATGCTCATTCTGATTCAAGAGATAGGAGTCATGTGCCGATGAAATCCCACGTTACTGTCGGCGTACTGGTCCAGGTAGGTTGCTGTTAGAATTGTATTAATAGTATTTGTTGACGATCATATCCTAGATCCATAAAAGGATCTGAAGGCGATCCTACATACGGATCCTTAATAATTATGCCGAACTACATATGTATGTCGAACATGCTGCTCCGTAAGCGGGACTGAGTGTATAGTGATTGTTGACTAAGAAACATGAGAAGGGGAGCTCTCCTGGCCCCCGTCAGCCCTATGATTGGACTTTACCAATAGTACCTCGTTGAAGTAGCAATGCTACATACCTCGTACTTGTACCTGTATAGTTCCGACTATACCTAGGTAATTACAACGTAGCAAGACGAAAAGACAAGCTGATAAGGGAGAGATAAGATAAGCCCCGCGTACCCCTCCACGCCTGGCCGATAAGACAAAAAAGTTCGAGGGGCAAAGCAGCGCAACCGAATATCACGATAACAGAATATCACCAGACCAAAGATCAAGGATTGAGTGTACAATTCATCACAGAGTTATCCAGCAAGATACACTCTGAACTGACTCGCCATGGCGCCTCACGACAGCGATTCATCTGGCGACGAGCAAGAAGACTATACCGAGACCAATGTTCTTCTCGGGTACGCCTCGAAAGAGCCCGAGGACATCAGCCATCTCGGCGGCCGTCCGGAATGGCTCGACCCCGACAGTCCGCCCTCGGCCGCCCTCGCCCGGTGCAAGGTGTGCCGGGACCTGATGGTGCTCCTGCTGCAGCTGAACGCCGAGCTGCCCGCCCAGTTCCCCGGCCACGAGCGGCGGCTGTACGTCTTCTCGTGCCGGCGCAAGACCTGCCGCCGGAAGGAAGGGACCATTCGGGTCGTGAGAGGGGTGAGAATAGCGCCTGGTAGCGGTACTATAAACACTACCAAGGGAGAGGAGGAGAAGTCGAAGCCGAAGCAAGAATCCAGTCCGACGCCGGCGCCACCGCCGCCCTCAAATCTAGGCGAGACACTGTTTGGCGCCAAGACACTGGGCTTGTCATCATCATCGTCGTCATCCCCGTTCGCATCCGCAAACCCCTTTTCCACTGGGAACGGCGGCTCCAGTGGTAGTAGCAACCCGTTCTCAACCAACTCGAACCCTTTCAGCAACGGCAACAGCAACGGCAACGGCACACCAGCCGCCACCACATCCGAAGCACCAAGTAAGCCAGCTCCCACAACAGACGACAACGCCGCCAAGGAGGAGGAACGACTCGAATCCCTCCCCAAGACCTTCGCCGAAACGCTATCCCTCAACAACCCACAACAACAACAAGCCCAACCCACCACCCCATCCACACCGGAGCCCTGGCCCCCCGAATCCGAACAACCGCGGCCATACGCGACATCGTACCTGACCGACGCCGACTACGAGACGCTGGACCCGACGCCAGCGCCCATACCCCAAGCCACAGTGCAGATGGACATTGACGAGGACACCAGCAAATCCGGAGGAGGGAAAGGAGGCAAAGAAGACCGCGACGTGTTCGAGTCGACCATGGACGCGGCCTTCCAGCGGTTCGCCGACCGACTAGCGCAGAACCCCGAGCAGACCATCCGGTACGAGTTCGGAGGCCAGCCGCTCCTGTCGTCGCGCGCGGACGCCGTGGGGAAGCTTCTAAGCACCGACGACAACGACGACGACGACAACGACAATGTAGGCAAGGTGAAGGTCAAAAGCCAAAACAACAAGGGGGCGAAGGGCAGAGGCATGCCGCGATGCGCCAGCTGCGGGGCGCGGCGCACCTTCGAGGTGCAGCTGTGCCCGCAGGCAATCGCGGAGCTCGAGGCCGACGAGGACGTGCAGGCGCAGCTGGAGGAGGGCATCGACTGGACCACGGTCATCGTCGGGGTCTGCGAGCGCGACTGCCAGGCCCCGGGCGTCGGGGAGGGCGGCGCGGGGTACCTGGAGGAGTGGGCGGGGGTGCAGTGGGAGGAACTGACTAGTGGTCGACGATGATGATGATATGAACATATATCCCACGACAGCAGCAAGAGCTTACGAATAGCAAGGTTTACGAATAGAAGGATTTGGCTTGGGTGTGAGCGCAGTTAGGTCAATGATGTAAGCCGGCTGGCTTAGCTTATATTCAATCGAGGATACCATGAATGGTTAAGGGGGCGGAGGCATAGAAAAAAGGGGGCTATACGCAGCGTTACGATGAATTTATGAGTTCAACCAAAGGGTACTCGGTCGGTATTGAATCAATGTTCTCATGATAATTCATGTACATATGTGTGTGTGTGTGTGTGTGTGTGTGTGTGATGTGATGTCTATGGATCGTAAACCGAGCCGCCTTCTGATGGGAGAAGAACCCCGTCAGGAAAGCTTTTACGACTGCATCGCATCGTATCGTTCCAGAGCGATAAAACCCCTATAACGCCATGGAATTTTTGAGTTCGTCTCGTCTTCCCGATGCCCTAACAAATCATGCATTCACTCGTCTTCCCTTCCTTGCCTCACCAGTTCCTTGGCCCTCCCTTGATGCATACCTTTTTCTCGACGAGATTATTGCCGGCGTCACCCAATTTCCGTAAACCATGGTAGAGAAACTACTCTCGCCCAGACCTCCTCGGATACCAAAAATTCCCCTTTCTTACGCCGTCTCCTCCCATGCGCGCCGTATGACGCGCGAGAACATATCGACGTTGACATCCTCGCGGACCTCGGCCTTGCGGGCCTCGTTCTCGGGGTTCCGGGGGACCTTGACAACGGCCCCATCCACAGCCCAGGAGGCGGTCTCGGTGATGAACTTGGCGGCGGCCTGGCCCTCGAGCCCGAGCCAGGACTCGAGCAGGGGGAGGTCGACCTCGCGGTAGGCGTGCCCGACGAGGGTGGCGATGCGGACGCGGATCATCTCCTCGAAGCCGGCCACGTCGGCCGTCAGGTCCGCGTACAGGTCGTCGCTATCCAGCGTGGCCCAGAACCGGGCGTACTGGGCGCCCTGCAGCTGGTCGTTGAGCGCGCGCAGCTTGCCGAGCGCCTCGGGCAGCTCGCCGACCGTAGCGGCGACGCCATCAGCACCCTCGACGACCGGTGGGCTCACGAGCGAGGGAGGGATCAGGTGCAGGCACAGCGAGAACTGCGGCGAGGGGAAGCACGTCATCGACTTGACGAGAACGTTGGTGATAACCTCGTCCTTGATGCGGTCGGGGTTCAGCTGATACCTGTGTTTCGGGGGAAGACAACGCCGGGGGCGGAGCGAGCAGGAGATTAGCAGATGAGCACACACAATGTACGGCTGAGTCTAGTAGACAGATATTCATGCAACAAAGCCACATGGAAGAAGCAGCAGCAGCAACACAGGTGTCTGGTCAGATTTAACTGATAAGTGGACATCGGAACGGGGAAGGAGGCTGATTAGGCCATCCCTCCCTGTTGATCAGGTAATAGGAAACGTGTAGAGGTTTTGATCATCATCCCAAACAGACCAAATGTGGGAAAGCAAGAGAGGCATGATAGAGAGCAGAAAGAAAGCGGCTAGGACGTACAGCTTCAACAATGTCCGGTTCGCATTGCAGTCGATGAACCGCTCCTCGCACTGCTGGCGCAGGTAGTCCTCGAGAGTGCCGACAGCCTCGGGGTTGTACCGCTCCAACCCATTTATTATGCTGGTGATGAAGTCGGGTCTCTCGCGGGGGTCTTCGCCTTCCATCTTGATTTTGATCTTGGCTTTGGGACGGGGTCACGTCACGCCACTCGAGGTTCGGTTCGGTTTTGGGAATGGGTGTCTTTCGCAGTGGAAGTGGCAGTGACCGTGACTTGATTCGTTCGCGCCGGCTTAGTTCGGTGATACCGGGGGGGGTTCGAAGGGTTGAAAAAAAAGGTCGAGGTTGAACGTTCGTTGCTTGGTGGTGGTGGGGCTTCGCACCAAAAGTTGCATGGAGGTTTTCGCAAATGTCAAGGCCCTGTTGTTGTGCCTTGTGGGTTGGTGGGTTGGTGGGCTATCGATTTTGCGGTAGGTGGCCCGTGCCCAGCGAGTTCAAGTTTGGGGCCAGTAAGGAAACCTCATCTCCTAGTACATACATACATACAACCTGCAATTAATTACTTGACATAGGCTGTTTGAATATTTCTATTGGCAATTAGGATCAGTTTTATATCAAATTGTTACGGAATATTTGCTGAATTCTTGTGGTATTCTATGTCGGTATTTCAACCGTAATTTCTGACTTCATGGAGCAAACCGTTCTCGTTCTGATCATCCATGCGGTTAACGGTGGGAGGGAAAGGTCCCCAAAAAGAGAGGCCTCGAAGACCAAAAAGACAAAAAGATGCATCAGCCGCGAATCGAACGCGGGGCCCATCGATTTCATTGTAGGAGATTCCTACGCATGGCAACGATGGATTTTACCACTAAACCACTGATGCTTATTGGTTGTTGCCGTATTGGTGACTATATAGTAGCCTCGGCCTGAGTTCGGCAGTTCTGGACGTCCTTCTCATCGGTGATAGGCTTAACCTGTGACCCCTTTGCCCCCCTCAAGGTATTTACTTACTTTCCTATGTACATACCAATGCATGGAGCATATCGTGAGCTTAGTCGGCCAGGCAGTCAAAGTGATTGTACATTGTTTTTGCATAGGTAGTAAGGCAGCACTCCTCATGACAGGCCAGTTTGTTCTCCTGGGCAACGGAGTACACAGCCGGGTAGGCACTACGGAAAAGACGTTTAGAGAAGCCACAATGGAAATAATCAAGCACCGGTGGGATTTACCGAGCTTCTGGTTGCTTCCGGTTGCCCTGGTTTTGTGGTACTATCTATTGGGGCTCCTAGGTACCTTGATGGGTACCCGATAGCGGCATATAAGGCCCAGACTCTACTGATTCACGGACTCATATTCTTACGGGAATACATATATCTGAACTCACAACATGATCAGGAGAGTCAAAAAAGTTGTTGTTTGCCATAGTGTAGCCATTGCCTCTTTCATTAGAGGTGTGTATCTTCTAAATAACCGAGTGCCAGGGAAACAACCACGACCATCGTCAATCCGGCCTACAGCTCACTGCCAGCCCATCACTCGCCGATGCCTCGGATAGGGTGTCTTTTCGTGCGATTATATTTACCTACCTACAGTCTCGCAGGCAAGCTATCTATTCATCTAGCTCCGTCCGTATACACATAACTAGCTAGCTCTACTTATAATGAAATACTTTATAATACCATCTAACTCCGGACCAGCAAGCTCGAGCCCGTCATGTCCTCGGGCTTCGGCAGGCCCATGACGTCGAGGATAGTGGGGGCGACATCGCCGAGGACGGCCTCGTCGCCCTTGCGGAGCGACCAGCCGGCGGGCTGGTTGTGCATGATGAACGGGACCTTGTTGGTGGTGTGGGAGGTCTTGGGCTTGCCGTCGGGGAACTTCATCTCCTCGGCGTTTCCGTGGTCGGACGTGATGAAGAGAACGTACCCCTCCTTCTCGCAGGCGGCGCGGATGACGCCGATGGCCGCGTCGGTCGCCTCGACGCCCTTCAGCGCCGCCTCGTACACGCCCGTGTGGCCCACCATGTCGGGCGGCGCGAAGTTGTTCATCACGAACGGGAATTTCTGCTCCCCGAGCCGCTTGGCCACCTGCTTGGCCACGCCCGCCGCGCTCATCTCGGGTGCCTTGTCGTACGTCGCCACGCTCTTGTTGGACGGGACCAGGTCCTGCGACTCGTCCCGCTCCTCCAGAGCGAACACCTTCTCCACGCCGCCGTTGAAGAAGAAGGTCACATGGGCGTATTTCTCCGTCTCGGCGATGTGCACCTGCCTGACCTCCTGCTTGCCGAGCCACTCCGCCAGGACGTTGTCCATGCGCTGGGGCTCGAAGGCGATGTCGAAGGGGTAGTCGACCTTGTACTGGGTCATGGTGACAAGGTGGATGTTGGGGTACGGGAAGTCGGGCCTGGGGGAGCGGTCGACGCCGCCGAGCAGCTGGGTGATCTGCCGCGCCCGGTCAGACCGGTAGTTGAAGAAGAAGACCTCGTCGCCGTCCTGGATGCGACCTTCCTTGCCGCCCACAATGATGGGCTTCAAGAACTCGTCGTTCTCGCCCTTCTCGTACCGTTCCTTGATCGTCTGGACGGGGTCAGAGCTCTCCTCGCCCTCGCCGAGGACCATGCCCTTCAGGGCGAGCTCAACCCGCTCCCATCGCTTATCCCGGTCCATGGCGAAGTATCGGCCCACCACGGTCGCGATCTCGCCAATGCCTATTTCCTTAGTCCTGCCGATTAACTCTTCCATGTAGCCAGCGCCTGATTTGGGGTCGGTATCCCGCCCGTCGCCGAAGAAGTGGATGAAAACTTTCGGGATGCCAGCGGCCTTCGCGGCCTTGAGGAGGGCGTAGAGGTGTTCTTGCTTCGAGTGCTGGAGTACATTGTCAGTGAGAAGGTTTCAACAAGGTAGATAGACCAAAAACATACAACGCCACCGTGGGAGACCAGACCGCAGAGGTGAAGTCTTCCATTGCCGTTCTTGGCAGCCTCCAGCGTCTTCTTGATGATTGGCGTGTTGGCAAACTCGTTCTTCTTGATAGTCAGGTCGATTCGGACAACATCTTGCCATACGACTCGGCCGGCACCGATATTCAAGTGGCCGACTTCCGAGTTGCCCATGAGACCCTCAGGCAGACCGACAGCGAGCGAGGAAGCTTCCAACTCGGTGTATCCAGTGGGGCTCTTGGACAACTCGTCCATCACGGGGGTGTTGGCATTGGTGATCGCATCGCCATTTTTAGGGGAGTCGGCACCGGGAATGCCCCAGCCGTCAATGACGATCAAGCAGGCCTTGTGGTCAGGAGTAGGCATTGTAAAAGTATTATTTGAGTATCTCAGTTCTTAGTCTTGATTATTCACGTTGGTACTTATTAGGAGCAAGTTGAGGGTGTTGAGGAAAAAGGTTGAGTTGGCGGGGTTATGAACTGAAACGAACGGAAAGAGAGAAAAAAACTACTCCGTAATGCAGCCGGTCAGACCACCGACCACGACTTCCCTCAGCTGATTATGCGACGGATCATACAACCATAGCTAGACGAATTTCTCATTGATACGGGGTGATTTACCTTGCCTACACTTATCAGTTTGTATGACACCCCTGATTCAGATGCTTAATTATACGTTCTACATTATACGTCCGTCGGGGAATGCATAGAAACAGTTTAGAAATAGTTGTAAGAATTGACGCGACTGGACTTTCCCTATCAAGCCTTTTCACCCGCCAATTGAGCATTCGTGCCCCTCTATTGACTTGGGAACCCCACGGTTGCCCCTCATCGAGATAGCGACCACAGCATTTTCATCGCCAAGTAAGTCGGTAGGTAATAGTCTCAAGACATACATACACCCATTTCATTAAGAATCTTGGACATCTGTATAGCTGGGAAACGTTTGATATAGAAAGATCATACTTGAAAAATTGGTTTTACATAATAGCCAAGTCTAAGTAGCCCAGAAAGCACAGAGCGCTATTCATTAACTGACCAGGGCGACGATTGGGAAGGAAGCCCGTTATTCGCGCATCTAGTTAACCAAGTTGACGTCAGAGGTTAAACATCCCACTTCCAACAATCGGCATGCCCCGCCAACCAGGCCTCGCCAAGGCTTTGATAGCGATAACCACTGTACATACATACCTACCCTCTATAACCGTAACAGCCACGCGCCGCAGCCACGCGCCGCAGCTCTCAAGCAGTCGCTGAAGGTTCCCGGTCTCAGAAATCCAGATCCGTCTTTCGCGAAAGGACTGCAACTACAACTACATCCATTCAACTTGTTGTAATCAGCAGCGCGGCACTGGAAACTGAAACGAACACGCAGCTGGAGCGTAGACAATTGGCCATTGCGCACACCATCGCAACTCAATCTACAGAAGATCGTAACATCGACCGACGCTGTTTGTTCGTTGCGAACTACCTCCATACATATACCCCTATACCCCTTTGCGACCTAAGCACCTACCTACCTACCCAATAAAGAACAACAACAAAATGACCTCCGCAAACCCTCGCAGCAACAGCACGCTCGCCATGCCGCCGGGCCTGAACCCGAGCTCACTGGACACTATAACAGAGGTCGCGCACCTGCTCTCGCAGCTCCGAACGCCCCAGACCACCACGACAACCACCTCTTCCACAGCCGGGCCCGGGACAGGCGCCTCCTCGAACCTGCCCGGCGCAACGCCCTCCGCCTCCGCCACCGCCACCGCCACCGCACCAACACCTTCCCAGCCGCCCTCCCAACAACACCCACCACCACATTCACAACAAACTCAAACCCAAACACCTGGTGGTGGGACGGGCGATCCGCAGAAAGATGTGGCCGAGGAGCTGACGCTGAAGGAGATCCCGGCGGCAGCGGACGCGCTCAAGCACCGGTTCCAGCGGGCGCGGGCACAGATCGCGACGCTGCCGGACCTAGGCCGGGCCATCGCGGACCAGCGGGCCGAGATGGCGGCGCTGGAGGCGCGGCTGGCCAAGCAGCGCGAGGTGCTGGCGCGCCTGCGCGATGTCGGCGTGAGGTTCGCCGCCGAGACGTCGCTGGGGCGGGATGGGAGGGATAGGGAACGGGACCAGGACCAGGAGGGGGATAGTAGGATGTTGTGATGGTGGTGGTGGTGATGTTTTGATGATATAAGTCGCGATTTGTACTAAGCAGGCACGGATATGAGCGGGAGATGGGGGGGGGGGGGGGGGGGGGGGGGGGGGCC